AAATAGTCAGAGCCATGTACATAGTTACCATTCAATAAAAAAAAAAAAAAAGAAATAGCCAGAGCCAGACCCAGTGACTGGCACACAGTAGGTGCTTAGTAAATATCTGATATCAGAGGCAAAAAGTACTACTCAGTAAAGGCCCCTGTCTGTGTTAAAATAATATTTGGGTAAGGTTGGTTCAACAGTTATGGCTCTACCAATGTGTATTATCCAAACCATATAATGTCACATTGCCCTCAAAGATGCCATGAAATGTTTTGTTATTTTGTTCTAATGCAGGTGTACTCTCCTATACATTCTTTTGATCTGCCAATCAAGCAACTGTATCTACTAGGAAAAACAAGGGTAACCTGGCAGGGCTTGTTTTGCCTGTTTTCTTGAGCCCTAGCTGAAGTTGGCTAAGCCTTCCATTGATCTCCAGTTCCTTGCAAATTATCAGATTAGTGATTCATCCTAAATTGGTCAACCCACCCGTTTGCAATGCTTACCTTTCTGAAAATCAATACATTTCCTGTCATCAAATGTCTAGGATAGCTCCTCCTCTCTAGGATTCTGTTGGAAGTTACCTGAGGCCCTGAGATATAATTTATTTTGTTCAAGGAAGCACTTTCAGTTACCTCTCCTTACTTGGACTTTAATTCACCTTGATCAAATTTGATTAAATAGAAAATTGCCTGGCATTTATTTAAAATATAGATACCCATACCCCTCCCCTAGAGATTCCAATTCATTATTTCATATTAACCCTTTCCCAGGCTATCTTTATGACGAGCAAGTTTAAGGAATGCTGTTTTATATAATAGTATTTCATACTGCAAAATTACATCAAAATTATATGCAGAAGATATATAGAAGATTAGAATGTTTGGTTACCATCCTCTTAAGAATTATTCCAAGCCCTGAGAATATGCCCAACCTCTCTCTGTCTTATAATCTTGCAGTAGCTCAGGACCTATTCAACAGCAACAGTATTCTTCTCAGTGATTCATGGCGGTGTGATCACATCGTTTTAGGCTTCTTCAACTGCATTTTAGCAATTTGAATTAGATAAGAAGGGGCTCCTGGGGACCTGTAGGCTTACTTCTGTGGGTTAGCTGTGCCTATGGTTGCAGCTAACCATAACAAGATCTCTTTTATTTTTCCAGGTGCCGGACCATATGATTTCTTCTGACTCTGTTTCATCTTCCCCCAGTACCTTCTTGAGCTCAAACTCTACTCTTTGCAATAAGCGAAATGTACATATGTTAAACAAGGGTGTACAAGCAGGTAAATTTTTTGAAGTTAAACTTTTCCATTGAAATAAAAGTGGCTCTTAAACTCGTAAGATACTTAACCTCACTCATATTAAAGGAAATTAAGATTAAAACTGTATCCAACTATTTTTCACCTATCAGATTGGCAAAACTCAAGTTTGATAGCAAGTTGGTGGGCAAGAGTGTGGGGAAATGGGTGCCCTCAATATATTTAGGTGTTGAAGTTGGTATACTGTGAAAGGCAGTTTGACAGTAACTATCCAAATTACTCTTGCCCAGCATTTTTGCATGTGCATTTTAGCTTATAGATATAGTTCCATATGTGCAAGGTGGCGAAAGTACCAACTTAACCATTGCAGTATTGTTTGTGATAGCAGAAAATTAAAGTCAACTTAGATATCCATCAATAGCTGAATGCTTGATTCAGTTATTTCCAGCATACAGTGAAATCCTAAATAAAATGAGGAAGCTCTCTGTACTTATAGGGAAGGAACTCCAAGATACATAATGCATAAAAAAATCAAGGTGCAGAGTAGTGTGTGGCATACTGCTGGTTTATTCTTTTAAAAATAAAAGATGAGAAATGTTTGAATGTGCAAAAAAAACCTTGGAGTAGGCCATTCTCTCGTTCCTTTTCTCTGCACCCTCCACCCCCATATGCCCTTCTTTCACTCCCTGCTCTCTGCTCTCATTTCTTCCCCCACAATCTCTTCCCTTTCTGTAATAGAAAATAAACGTATACTTTTATATTAAATCCAAAAACTTATTGGGAGTCTCAGGGTTGTGAACAGAGAACAGTAGGAAGGAGACTTTTCAGTTGATACTTTTCTATACCTTTTGATTTTATAAAACAAAAATAAATTGTCCTTTTGATTTTTTTTCTCTTTCAAGTCTTGTCTTCTGTCAATCTCTTCCATACCTGGGTGACTGCCAATAGGACAATAAGTTTTATTTTCTTTCTCACTTGGGATCAGAACCAAAATCTTTATCCTTTGAACCCATATTAGTTCTTATTTCCCTCTAATACTTAAGGTGGCTTAGATACTAAAACTCTCTTTTCTTTCTCCCTATCCTTTTCTCCCTCTTTCTTTTCTTCCTCTTTCTTTCTTCCATCCTTCACCCTAAATAAAGGCAGTATGTTTCTGAAGCACTAAAAACTGTTCACTTGCTGACTTGAACAGACCCCTTAACTTAGCCTCAAGGCTATTCCCAGAGATATCGATGATCTTTCCTTTCAGGTAACTTGGAGATTGTGAATGGTGCCACAAACCACACTCGAGATGTTGGGATGACTTTCCCAACTCCAAGTCCTAGTGAGGCTAGATTAGAAGAGAACAGTGATGTGACTTCTTGGCTAGAAGAAAAAAATGAAGAGAAAGTTCCCCTTACCAATTATCCTGAGGACAAAAACTTAAAGAAGAACAAGCAGACTTTCTGTGAAGGTCAGTTTCTAAGTATAGATTTTGTAGCAGAAAAATGAGTGAATTTCAGTTCCCTTGCAAGGTTAAGATTCTTTGTTTCTAAATGACTGTGTTGAGTCCACCTGGCTTTGGTGCTAGATACTCTATATACAGGGGTCCTCGGACTTTTTAAACAGGGGGCCAGTTCACTGTCCCTTTGACCGTTGGAGGGTCAGACTGCAGGCCCTGGGACGAGTCAGCTGCTAAGCAGGACAGGCAGCAGCGGCAAAACACCCAGCAGGCTAAATGTCCTAGGTGGGCTGCATGTGGCCCACAGGCTGTAGTTTGAGGGTACCTGCTCTATAACCTTGCCAAGGATTCCTTAGCAAGGTTATAGAGTATCTAGCACTACTTTTACAGAATCATACCTGCAGTTAAGTCAGACTCAGGGGTACCTTGGTGGCCTCTGGCAACTGAGTCCCCTGAAAGTCTATATTATGTGCATGTCTTTGATGGGAGCTGGGTGGGCTATAAAATAAGAAAAATCTTTTTTTCCTTCTTAAAAATATTTCCTACAGGGGTTTCATGGTTTGTTCCTGTGGAAAATGTGAAGTCTGAATCTAAGAAGGAAAATCTGCCCAAGATTTATGGCCCTAGTATCTCCTGGTTTGAACCAGTAACCAAAACCAAACCCTGGAGGGAGCCACTGCGGGAACAGAACTGGCAGGGACAACACATGGATGGTGGGGGCTCACTGGCAGACCCAGTCAGAGGAGATGGCAGAGATGCACTGAAATCACTTGTGAGAGCAACCCTGCAGGTGCGGTGACATTGAATTACTTTAGCCCTCTGTTTAGGGAGAAGAAGGTCAAGACACAAAGAAGTTGCATCTATGACTTGGCATGCTGAGGTTTATTCCTGTAACCTCCACAGTTCATCAGCTTTCAATCAAAGATTGCCTTACTCTTAACCATTCTAAATAGTGCATGACTCTCAGAATCTGAGGACAAGGCAATAGAAGGGGGGCAGTTTTTAGTACTGTTCATTGTAGATATCTGCATGTATAGTGCTCGGATGCCTGAGGTTCGTGTCAGCCTCATATATATTCCTCTATTTATTTAACTGCTGTTCCTGCTTAACATAGGAATTAAAAGGCACCTAGTCTCTTCTTATATGTCTCTTGGAGGATAAAGGAAATGTTATCTCCAGAAGTATTTGTTTGAAAGGAAATTTAAAATAGTACAATGGGCAGAGCTCTA